TTGACTTTGAGCAGGGTATGACTAGTGAGTTATGGAGTACCTTATAAGGTTAAGGACTTATGAGTATATTGTGCTATAGTATTAGGTGGTGGAGCCTGTGCCAAGTAATTCGAGAGTTGGGTTTTATCTTCCGGGTCGACATTTGCGAGGTGAGTTATCCTCACTATACTAAGGGGTCTAAGGCACCAAGGTCGGCCCATTGGATATGATATGCTAGTAGTTGTATTATGTTGAGTATAAGTTGGTTATGCATGCTAGTTTGATATACTAAAGGGTAGGTCTGTAGGACTACCTGTGATACTGATTGATTACCTGTATGTGCATTATCTGTTACATGTTGATATGTTATGTGGGATGGGTTGAGGTTGTACTGCTCCGTGCGGTAGCCAACAAACCCTAGGGTATTCCAGATATGAGCTGAGGGCCCGGTAGGCATTCCAGACTCATACTGAGGACTCAGGAGCATTCCAGATACGAGCTGAGGGCCCGGTAGGCATTCCAGACTCGTACTGAGGGCTCGATGGTATTCCAGATACGAGCTGAGGGCCCGGTAGGCATTCCAGACTCGTACTGAGGACCCAGGGGTAATCCAGCTTGTAAAGCTGTGGACCCATTGCATGTTGTTCTGTTCAGTTTGTTATGATATGTCATGGTGTGACATGGTTATGTGGACTGTATGTGTATCGGTATTTTGGGGGTAACTCACTAAGCTCTTGGGCTTACAGTTTCAGTTTATTGTTTCAGGTACATCAGGGGATCGCGGCAAGGCGAAGGCATGATCGTACAGCTCCTCCTATTATGTTTATGTTTTTGGGAATACTCTGATAAAAATGTATTTTGAAAACAAAGTTGTAATGTTTTGATGAACTTGACATGTTTTGAAAGTTTAAATTGGTTCGAAATTTTTGGGTGTTACATATCATTTATTTGGATGAGGATAATTATTACCATAGCATCAAAATCAAATTTTATGAACAAAAACATTTTGTGGTAATGATCCTAATCCAAAACAGGCCAAAAAAACTCGAAAATCTGCATTCAGGACAGCTAACTCGTCGAGTGAATGAGCTGACTCGTCGAGTTGGTTAACTTTGTGAGTGGACTCGGCGAGTCACTCATCCAACTCGACGAGTCCAAGGCAAAAACCATGCAACTCGTCGAGTTAACCACTGGACTCGGCGAGTTCTGCTGTCAGAGTGCAGAAAAATCGATTTTTTCACTTTGAATACCAATAAAACATCAAGTATAATAGAAAACAACCCATGGCTCTGATACCACTGTTGAGTTTTTGTATAGTACAACATCCTATGGTGTACATACAACCCTAAATGCCTTGGATCTATGTTTTCTCTAATTATACATGTAATAGTGTTTCCAAAGCATTAAGCCTATAACTAGCATGCAAATAACATATGTATAATAAAACAAGTTTTAGACATACCTCTTGATGTTGTTGATGTTGCTAGAAAGACTTTGGCCTTTAAGAACTTAGTGCCCCAAGTTTTGCACCTCAAATGGAATCACAACTCACCTAGGACAAAGGTGACTCTTGAGAGAGAATTTCCATGCACCAAAAACACCTCCATGAACTCCAAGAACTACAAGTGCACGTTTTTAGGTTATGGAGCATATATTTATATGTAGGATGTCATGGGTATAACCCAAATCCATACCCATGGGTTTTATGATCCATGGTTCATGTGGCCCAACTCTTTATGTATCCATATATAAACTTAGACAAAATTTTGGCTACGCCACTGATAATCGTATGCATTTTCGGGTTTAAATGAATATTAAGTGTGTAATTATTCATGTCTATTTTGCAAACGGTTGTTGACAAATATCAGCTTAGGTGTATATGGTTGTCAATTGTTGAGTATGGCCATCACTTCCATATAGTTATCAACTTTTTTGAAGTATTACCACATGTTTTTTTAAATAGCAACTTCTTGTTAGAGAATAGGGGTAAAAACACTTGGAAATTTTGAGAATCGTGTATAACACTTTCAGATTAAAGTATTTGGGTGGTACTCCTAATCTTTAATCGGATAAGACTCAGAAAGTGAGGGAAACAGAAGAGAGAATGTTAAAGATGTTATAAAGAAGAAGAGAACCAAAACTGATTTCGAAATGATCATATAACAAGAAAAACTTACTGTCTTAAAACTGCCACATGACAGTTTTCTATCCTAAATCTGTCAAAAAACGGTCATAAACCAACTTAAATCAGAGTCTAAAGTATGGATCACAAAATCGGGTGTATTAATCGGGTGCATTTACCAAAAACGATCATAAAATAGCCAGGGGCTCTGCCCCTTGGACCCCCGCCAGCGGCTGCCGCCCCTTGGACCCTGCTCCCAGGGGTGCTGCCCCCGGACCCCCGTTCGTTCAGGGGCTTTACCCCTAAATAGCAGTGTACTTTCAACCAAGACAAATTTAAACAAATGTGCACTCCACACCATCCTAACTTGTTCAATTTTTATCAAGGTGACATTGATCAACAAATTAATCCTATTACACTTAAATAATATTAGTGATGTAAAATCACCAACACTTCTATCCATATGCTTGTTAATATTTAAACCAAATATTTTGTCAGGAAATAGAAACTTACTAGATGCTTATCAAATGTTTGAACCATTACCATGCATATGCTTAATATCCAAATCTGTAGACATATAACAACTTATTCTGTAATTTGTCAAGTAGCCAAATGACTATTCCATTACCATAATACTGCATGTTTATCTTCAACAACTGATAACAACTTTTCCCCACCCCAAAACACCAAAAAGAAACCTAAAATTACTATGACTACTAGAAAAACATGACTATTGACTAAGTAACCGTAAACCTAGCCCCAAAGCAAAATATTAATTGTTTAATTTCATAAAGTGTAATTATATATTTTTGTTTTGTAAATTTATCTTTTTTTTCTTTATATATTACTCCCTTCGTCCCAAAATTATTGTCCACAGACAAAAAAACACACAGATTAAGGAAACATTAATTACCATTAACTTTATTAAATGAAATGACAATTATACCTTTTTATTGCATTTAATTCTATGGTAGTTGTATTTTATTTCATTGTAGTTTTACTAATAATGAATGGTATTTTGGTAAAAATAATATTTATTTTTAGAAGTGAACAATTATTTTGGGACAAACCAAAAAGGAAATATGAATTATTAATTTGGAACAGAGAAGTATGTGCAAGTTCAAGAAAATCATAGGGTTAAGTGGGTAAGAACTTAATAAATAAAAATTTTAATTAAATAAAATTTTTATGTTTTTATTAAAATTAATAGTAAGCTACAAAACATAAATAAAAAAATATTTTTATCATGAGAAATTAAAAATCCTCCTACATTTAATTTCTACTATCTTCCTATCCACATTAAATGGTGACATGTGTACTAAAATATTATCAATTTCATTTAAATGGGTCATTAAATGTGACACATGTCAACATTTGATATGGTAAGAGGATAGATAGAAATAAAAATATAGGAAAATATTTAATTTCTCTTTTATCGTATGATATAATTAGTTTCAATTTCATATCAATCAAACATATACTAATCATAACTGATTCGTATTCATTATAGTATCTTTAAAGTTTTTCGTTGATAAAAAATAGAAAAAAAAATCTATTTCTTTTTTGGAATTGCTATACTTTATTTATTGTAATTTAATCAAAAGATTTGGGATACATAAATTAACAAATGACAGTACTTTTCATTTGTTAACTATTTTTATAATAGTTGTAAAATATAAAAATTAAAGTTTAACAATTTATTGTTTAAAACTATTTTTACATAAAAACAAATCTCCCTATTCTAATAAATGAATAGGTTTATTCTCATATTGACAAGTGGCACAATATTAGAAATTCTCATTAATATTATATGCTACATGTCAACCTATTAATTCTCCATTTTAAATTTTAAAATTTAAATTTCTCACTCTAATTATATTAAATTAATATTTGATAATTGATTCTTCATTTCAAAATTCAAATTCAAATTTCACACTCTAATTACATTAAATTAATAACATTAGAATAAAAAATAAAATAAAATAAATATATATTATAAGGTGATATAATTTCATGTATTTATTTAAATTAACGATTATAATTTTATATAACTAAAAAAATATCTCTTAATTAATAATTTATTTAAAACAATTTATTTGAAATAATTGATTAATAATTTTAACTTTTTACTATGAAAGTTTAATTAATTTTATAACTGTGGTTCTCACGGGTTATAAACTAGTGAATTATATTTGTCTACACAAAACAACAGTGGCGGACGCAGACTGTTTTACTAGGGGTGTCCATCGTACTTCAAGCCGGTGCACCTAATAGAAAAAAAAAAATTTACACTACGTGCCGGAAATTGAGCAGTGGCCCGGGTCTCCCAATGCTCCACTAAGGTCCGCCGCTACAAAACAACAAATTTCTAAACAAATATTAATATATACTATATATGTTAATAAGAATTAGAGTTAACGGTTATTTATGTGATTTAAATATGATCAATAAGGTTTTTAATAATTTTAATATACAATAAAAATGATAAAAATTTAATTCCATAAGTATTAGGAAATAATTTTGAAATCCATCTAAATATTAAAACGTATTAAATGACTGGAATTGAATTCCAATTCTAACAAACCACAAAATATCACAAAAAAACTCCCTTAAATATAAAAATAAATGAATATAGAGAAATTCATTATATGTATATCTATTTTTTTGAAGAATATTAAAATAGAGAAAGGTTTTTTTAAGAATAATAAAACCGAAAAAGAAATATTTAATTGAAAGGAAAAAATGGCAAATTTTTGTAAAAGATCTAATCCTAAACAAATCAAAAAGTGGAAGAAACGAGGGGCGAAGTCATTTACAACAGTACGACTCTGCTGTTTTTTATTCTTTAACAACGATGATGTTGGATTCTCCATAGTTTTCTGCTTTAACCTCTCTCTCTCTCTCTCTCTCTCTCTCTCTCTCTCTCTCTCTCAACAAAACACATACATATTCATGCTTTGTTACTCGCTTACTCCCCGAATCTTCGTTCGATTTTCCATCGCTCACTTCTCGATAAACACAAGTTCGCATGTTTGTGTTTGTGGGTTTTCTAAATCTTTATAAACCCTAACATGGGTCGCCTTTGATTTCTACTCTTGTGTTGTGGGCAGATTTGATTTTGATGATCCAATCAACTTCCTCATCAAACCCTAGTTTCCCCCTTCAAAACTACCCACCGATCTCAACAACTCGATTTAGTTTCCTAGATCTCGTACTTCGATTGAAACTGCAATTCCATCAACACAATGTAGATTGGATGAACACGATCCCAGTCTCGAAATTCAACTCTGCTCACTAACTCAAAATTTCTGCAACTTATCAGCATCGATTTAATTTAACTTAGAGTATTATTTTCTGTGTATAATGAATTATAAGATGAGGGGTAGAGGGGAAAAAGATGAGTTTGTGTTCAAAGATTCGTCAATCGGATTAATTAGACTTCTTTGCTTTCTAATTCTTTTCGTCATCGGTATAATAATTGGTTTGACTTCAAGTTCACATGTCGATAGGTATTTCATCACTTCAAGGCCCGATAATTTCTATACAGATTACACAACGGCTGCTCCTGCGCCAAGTTATGCCAAAACAGCTACTTACGATCAGAACTGTAGTACGAATTCAAATTGCAAGAACGACGATTGCTTAAGTATGGAGAGCTTTCGAATGCCTAAGAATGTGACGCATCGAATGACTGATAACGAGCTCTTTTGGAGGGCTTCAATGGTGCCTGATAAACCTGAGTACCCTTTTGATCGAGTGCCTAAGCTGGCGTTTATGTTCATGACAAGAGGGCCTCTGCCATTCTTACCTTTATGGGAGAGGTTTTTTCGAGGTCAACATGAGAATAAGTATTCGATTTATGTTCATTGCAATCCTGGGGTTCGTTTGGATTTTGAGAATTCTTCGGTTTTTTATCAGCGACAGATTCCTAGCCAGGTATGAATATGATTCTGTTCTTATGCTTGCTTAGCTGATATGATTGCATATAATGATAATTAGTTCAGAATTTTGAATCTCTTTCCAGAAGAAATCGATGATTTTTGTAGGGTTTTAGTCAATTTTCTTAGGTTGCCTTTGTCACATGGTACACATGAGTTGTACTAAATAAATTTATAATAACGATGAAAAGGTTATGCAATTCTTTTGCATGTATACCCATCTGTTTCGATGGTACAAAATTGCAATTTTCGTTGATGCACCCCAACTGTACCAAATTTGTTATATCACTCTTGTCCTACACAACAAATGGGGTTTTAGGCTTTAGGCTTAGGCCTAGGTTGTGTTTGTTACATGTGACATGATTAGATGAAACAAAAAAAAAGGTTTTCAAATGCTATTTTCAAAATCCAATACATGTCAAACACATTATATTTCTTTTCTTTCATTTTCAGGATGTGAAATGGGGAACAGTGACACTAGTCGATGCGGAAAGGCGACTTCTAGGCAATGCGTTACTCGACTTCTCAAATGACCGATTTATCCTCCTATCCGAAAGTTGCATTCCAATATACAACTTCCCAACCATCTACAACTACCTCATCGGGTCAACACACAGCTTCCTAGACTCCTACGATGACCCATCCCGTTACGGACGGGGTCGTTACAGCCGTCGGATGAAACCCGACATCAAGCTCCGTGATTGGAGAAAAGGGTCTCAATGGTTCGAGATCCACCGTACAATTGGCATCAAAATAATCTCCGATACAAAATACTACAACCTCTTCAAATCATATTGCTTACCTTCTTGCTACCCCGATGAGCATTACTTGCCTACATTCGTGCACATGTTTTACGGTGATCTTAATGCAAATCGGACGGTTACTTATGTCGATTGGTCATTGGGGGGCCCACATCCGGCAACTTTTGGGGCGGATGATGTTACGGAGAATTTGATACGATCAATTAGGAATAATGGGACGAATTGTGCGTATAATAAAGGAAAAACGTCCATTTGTTTTTTGTTTGCTAGGAAGTTTAGTCCGAGTGCATTGGACCCTTTACTTGGACTTGCGTCTAGTTTATTAGGGTTTTGAAATTAGTGTGTTGGCATATTTTGTTTTTGATGGGAAGTTTTGTTGCTTGAATTCCCTTTGTGTTGTAGATTTTGATGTTTTTATTTAAAATACTTGTAATTTGCAACAAATATCAATCAAAAGTAAAAAATATTGGAATTAATTAGTATGATCCAGTTCTATTGTGGTCTTTAATAAGTCAATACAAAATTGCAAATCATCTACAAGTCGATTGAATAATAAATGCTCATTCATTGAGAGATAGCAATATGTTTTATCAAAAAAAAAAAGTATTATAGCAACGTGTCATGTCATGTGGATCTGTAGATTATTTTAATGTTAATTAAGATTATAATTATATCTTTTTATAGTTATTGGTGGATTAAATGGGTGAGAAAAGCAATTAAAGCAAATTTGAAATGCATAAGTAGGGCACATACAACAATTTTAATTACAACAAATGGTGGGAGCAATGGGGCATCCATTTGTTTAAAGTTTGGTCTAATATGACTAAAAAGTACACTATTATTTATATGGGCAATTTGGCTACAAAAAGATTTGAACTTTAGTACGATACATGCTAATGGATGATCAATAATGGAGAATTAAAAAGATTTTAAAATAATTCATTCTTATTTCTTATTTCTTCAAAACGAGTTCCAATGGTTGAAGAAATATATTTTTGAAATAAAATCAGAGTAATCATTTGATTAAAATAATTGCGGAATTTGTTCCCAAAACAAAATATGATAAGAATTTTATCAAATCATTTCTTAAAGAAATATATTTTCCATTTCATAACAAAACCTCGGGATGTCATGTTCTGATACAGACCAAAAGCATAAACAGTACCATATAGGCCTTACAACATTTATTCATATCTACTGGCCTATAATCCAAAATCACTTGTCATTGTCCAACTATGCTCTTGTTCAACTACCTGTAATACAGAAAAACTGAGTGGGTCAGGCTTGGGAGCCTAGTGAGCATATAGGGTTTTCAACCCACAATAATCAAATTTATTATGTTTAAACATCAAACAACTAACCAAATTTTCTCATCCCCATTATCTTCTTTATTCTTAAAGATCTTAATAATCATTTGTCCTCCATTCATTCATTCCTAAGGATTCTCCTAAGGTGATTACCCTTTCCCGTATTCCTCACTTTACGTCCTTAAAGTATCTATTTATAAGGGACCTAGTCTAAGGATTTTTCAATGGGGCGACAACACTGCTTCAGGGTTTCCTTAGCAATTTATGTCAAATAGGGCAACTATCGGAGTGACAACATTGATTTCCCCAGCAATTTATGTCGAATAGACAACCAAAGGGGTGACAACATTGCTTTCCTCTGCAATTTATGTCAAATAGGCACGAAGTACATCGTCGCCAGGGTTTATACAACAGGCACTAATTCCATAGCTACCAATATTCATCTATACAATACTAAATCCATACTCTCAACGTACATCTATAAGGCACTAAATCCATAGCTTCCAACGTACATCTATAAGGCACTAAATCTATAGCTGCCAATATAATCCTTTCGGCGCAGCTGCCAGGATATTTAGATTAAAACTAGTGAACACTTAAATCAAAATACTCGGTAAACACTCCGTTTGAAAATACTTAATGAACACCTAGTTCAAACAATGTGATAATAATGTATATATCTAAATCCTGCAAGACCACTATTATTATTAACACACACACACATATATATATATATATATATATATATATATATATATATATATATATATATATATATATATCATATTTCTAAAACAATCTATCCCATCCCGTTGATCCCCACATACTGACCCTATACAATGATCTTACGAGATCTAGCCTAAGGAATCGATATGAACAACAAACAGACGAAGCTGCTTCGGAAATTCCCTGGCAGCAAACGAGGATCAACAAAGACATCAAATGAGGGGAATGAAATAAGTTTCACCACGAACCTTCGTTCGTAAAAGAAAGAACCACAAGACAATTAAGTCAGGGGTAGTTATCTAGATAACAATGCCTAGCCGTGGTCCGAATATCGTGAGGTATTTTACCCCCAGACTCACCCTATCCAACATCGAACTTTGCCTAGTAGTGGTCTGAATATCGTGAGATATTTTACCCCTAGACTCACCTTATCCGAAAATATAACACCAGACATACCTAGTAGTGGTCTATTACCGACACACTTTATTAGGCAGTCTACGAAGTTCCCTCGATTACTTCGTGAAAGGAAACGCTGACATATGAAGCTCGTCTGATCACTTCATAAAAGAAATGATGACTCCAAAGCTCTTCCAAATAAAAAAGTATAGGGAAATACTAATAGAGTACTCCCGTACGCTCCCGTAACCGATACACAATAGTGTCAAAAAGACTTAGTACATGATAGTACTTCTGGCACATTATAGTACTCTGGTATGCGTAGGACTCGTACCCGAGAACATAATAATACCCCGGCACAAGCAGCACCTAAGACACAGGGCTTTGAAAAGGGCTTCATACATAAAATGTACTTCTGTACGTAGGCCGTACTCCACCGATCATCGATCTCACCACACACGCACTCTTAATAAGAGGCTACCCAATGTCCAAACTTAATTGAACTAAACATCCCTTTTTAAGTCTTAACCCATCACTAGGCAAACCTACAAAGCTTATAATCAATTTTCGATACTATCTCCGTTTAGGCAACGCTAACTAGTGTATACTTAACACAGAGCTTTAAGTAATAATATCATATATACATATCTTAACACATATTGAACCATAACTGGTTCGCACATTGTATATCATCAAATATATATCTAACACATATTTCGGGCAATAGCAAATATTTCACACACATATATGTTTCATACTTTAATCAATACTTGTATTAAAACCATGTTCATGAAAGAGACTATGCACATGATATCTTATCGGATGAACACATAGTTCAAAAATACATAATCCGTACTCCCGGATCTAAAATTTACCTCCTTACCTAATCCATATTCCCGGATCGGGTATGTCTGATCTATCTTAATAAAACAAACAATATATATATATATATATATATATACACACACACAGCACGTATTTTATAAAATACTTCATATCTATGTGTAAGATGAAAGGGACTATACACTCACCTGATAAGACGACGATTGGACAGCGCTTCGTCCCTTAAAACAATATTCTTCGATGAAACCGGACTTCTCGCGGGCAGAGTTTCGGCTCGAAACTCTTTTTCTCGGGATCTTCGGGGCTTCGGGACTTGCTTCGGGTATCGGGACTTCGGGGGTACTTCAAGATGGCTTAGAGAGGGTATAGAGAGTGAGGGAGTGGAGAATTAGCAACCATGGCCGGCTGCCCTTCGGTTTCTATTTATAGGGCCAATTTTCTGGATTCACGTCGTGAACCACAAGTTCACGTCGTGACTTCAGTCGTCATCAGGTGCGTCATCGCAACTTGGGTCTGTCAGGCTATTGAAGACGTCCATCACCTGTTCACGTCGTGAACACCCTGTTCACGTCGTGAACTCTGACAGTGGTGGAAGTTCGTGCCCCGAACTTCAGAAATTCATATCTCTCGCATACGAGCTCCGTTTTCGATGTTCTTTGTATACACGCGTAGGTGTGATTATGTTCTACAACTCTCGTTTAGACTCCGTCGGCTAATTTTGAATTAATTTTTAATATATTATTTTTAGTAGGCCGGGACAGGAAAACTCCGTTAGAAATTCATAACTCCTTCATCTGACGTTCGTTTTCGTCTGTCTTTTTACCGTTGGACTACTATCGACGAGATCTTCGATCCTCGTTTAGATTGTTTTGGCTAGAAATCACTCGATCTCATATTCGAACTTTGGGCTGCAAACCGCTAAGTCGAAACTTCGAAAAATCATAACTTCCTCATACGAAGTCAGATTTAGACGTTCTTTTTATGCACGCTCTCGGTTTAACATATTCTACGACTTTCGTTTAGATCGCTAAGGCCAAATATCGCTCTATCGTAAATTCACTATATATGTCGCGCAGTGTCGTGCCGGTTCTGTCGCGAAACTTCGACAAGTCATAACTTCTTCATTATAACTCGGATTTCGGTATTCTTTATATATCCGGACTCCTTGTCACGACCACTACAACTTCCTTCATAGATATCGGCTTATCTAATATTTATTTTCAACGCTTATTTTTATCCTTAATCATAATAATTAAGTTTAAAGCACATAATTCATTCTTATTTCTTCAAAACGAGTTCCAATGGTTGACCTAGACTATTATATTATCATTAATGTTTAGCCCCGAAACACGGGCGTTATATATATATATATATATATATATATATATATATATATATATATATATATATATATATATATAATATATATATATATATATATATATATATATAGACACACACACATACATACAATAGGTGTAAAACTCGTGTATTACACGTAGGGCAGTTCACTATTTGGATAAAACCGAATTGTCCAATTGGAACATTGGATTGGACTATTTGGTTCGGATATTCGGATTTTTGGTTTGGTTTTCAACAAAACCGAATTATTATTTTGGATTTCGGATTGGTTTTGGTATATAAAATGAGAACCGAATAGTCCAAAAAAAACCGAATAAACATTTATTATTTAATTATTTATAATACATATCTATAGTTATTTATTAATTTTGTAATTAATTTTTTCAAATAGGTTCAAAACGTTTAATCTGATAAAAAAAACATTAATAGACATTATCTCTCAAAAGTTTTCTATCTAAAAAATATTTAACTCAAATATATCTTCTTAGTAGTTGTTTATAAATTTCAAATCACAACTAAATAATTTGTTTTTGTTACTTGTGTAAAATTAGGTAATATTATAATTATACGTCGTTTTAAAATGTTTTGAAAATTGAATTATAAAAACCGATCCAACCGAATTGTAATTAGATCGGATCGGATATGAATTTAGTTTGGATTATTCAGATCCATGTTTTGAAAACCGAAATCAATTTGGATTCACTTGATTGGATCGGATCAAACAGATCCATCCAAACG